CTCCATCGGCACCATTTTTACCATTTGCTTGATTAGCTGCACCTAAGACAAACAAAACACAGCTGATCACATCAACATCAACAACACAGGGTTAACATCACTTTCCAGTGGCTTAGGCAAAATAAAACAGGGATTAAAATAAATCAAAATAAGAGACCCAAATAGCATTTATAATCACTTCTAACTAAACCTTCATATATGGTATAATTAGCATCTCTGATAGCAACACATTAAATATTTAGTGGAGAGATTCTTCACTTCAAAAAATTTCAAAGTAACTTTCTATTAAAAAAAGCTTTTCAATCACTTTGATCACTCAACCTAAGCCACAAACAAGTAATGTGTGGGGGAAACATAAAACAGCTTTCTTTGAGGGGAATAACAAAGTGGTTATCCAAGTAGCTTTAAGTAAACAAAAAAATGAAAATTAAGAAAAAAAAATTAGTTGTTAAATATGTATTTACATAATGCTGCCTCTTTGATTGCAAAAGCCAGGCTGCATTGGGGGTTAATAGCAAATTAAATATAACTGCAGAGCAATGGAACAAAACAAAACCATAACACTATATACAGCCTCAGCATAAAATAATCCATCATGCAGTACTCTATAAAATTATGGGCCATATAATAATAACCAATTTTCATAACAAAGAAATAGTGATACTACAGTATATAATAACAATATGAGGACAGATAATAAAGTTTAAAAAGGTGTCACAGTTTCTTAGGTAAGCTACAACACCAACATGAATCTGAAGACTGACAATAGGTCATTTTGTAGTGAAAATGAGGTAACGTTGTGGGCAATACTGTGCTACGAATAGGTGACATTCTTGAATGAAAATATTTTCTCTTAAAGGCATTTTTGATTCAACTACTTCTATTCTTCCTCTTCACATAGGGGACCGAATATGGTCCAGAACAATCATGCTTTGTACATGGTGCCTTTGCATTTGTGGTGTCATGCTTTACCATGACTGAACATGAAAGAGTGCAGATGATCAACCACATCAAGCAGAACTTGAAGATGGGAAAAATGTTGACACTTAGAGACTGAAATAGCCATCCCTCTTTATGAAGCTTTTGTCTGTGTGCTGTGGCTTATATTTTTATTTCGTAACATTTCTGCAGGTCTTTTTATTTTTCTCTCTCTTTTATCATCAATATTTCTTATGACCTTAATAATAACTCTTTCTACATCAATTTACATACACATACTTGCCATAGTAATTCAAGAAAAAATATTGAAAGATATCTATACTAATTTTGAGCACTGTCTCTAAAAAAACATAATAAACAAAATCTATAGTTATTGCTCATAAGTAACATGAAGAAATTTATTTCACAACTAATATCAAGAAATTTGAAATACTAATAATTTTTTTTTATATCATACTTCTCACAAATAATGAAATCACTGTTGCACCAAATCCAATATAACTACAACAACAATAACATTGAAAGATAAATATCTTGTCACTGAGTAAAACAGTATTGTACACTCCATGTTAAAAGCAAAATAACAATAAAGATGATAAACACCAGATAAGCCTTTAGAAGCTTCACTGGGTTGACACTATTGTTCAAGAGTAATGTTTAAAGGAATCTCCTTACTTCCGAGTCTTTCTCACGATACACTATAACATTTCTATCATTTAAAGTGAACAATAGTTTCTCTTGGCAAATTGGCATTTGGTAAGCATAGAACAGAGGGAAAGGGAGAAAAAAGTGAGGGAAAGGAGAAAATAATATATAAGAGAGAGAGAGAGAGAGAGAGAGAGAGAGAGAGAGAGAGAGAGAGAGAGAGAGAGAGAGAGAGAGAGAGAGAGAGAGAGAGAGAGAGAGAGAGAGAGAGAGAGAGTGAGAGAGAGACAGAGAACAGTGAGAAAAAAAGTGAGAAAAAAGTGAGAAAAAAACAGCCAAAAAAAGTGAGCAAGAGAAAGAAAACAGAGTGAGAGTTAGAAAGAAGAGTGAGAGAGAGAGAAAGAAAACAGTGAGAGAGAGAGAAGAGAGAGAGAGAGAGAGAGAGAGAGAGAGAGAGAGAGAGAGAGAGAGAGAGAGAGAGAGAGAGAGAGAGAGAGGAAGGGAGGGAGGGAGGGGGGGGAAGAAGTGAGAATAAGGGAGAGGCAGGAGAAAGAGTAAGATATGAGACAACAGAAATGGAAAGAAAGAAGGAAGGAAGGAAGGAAGGTGGGAGGGAGGAAGGAATGGAGCGAGAGAGAAGAGGGGGAGAGGTAGAAGATGGGGAGACGGAGAAGAGGGAGGAAGGGAGGAAGGAAAGAAGGGAGGGAGGGAGGGAGGGAGGGAGGGAGGGAGAAAGGGAGGGAGAAGGGGGAGGGAAAGAAAGAGAAAGAGAGAAAGAGAGAGAGAGAGAGAGAGAGAGAGAGAGAGAGAGAGAGAGAGAGAGAGAGAGAGAGAGAGAGAGAGAGAGAGAGAGAGGGGAGGGGGGGGGAGTGGGAGAAAGGGAAAGAAAGAGGGAAAGAAAGGGAGAAAGATAGAAAGAAAGAAAGAAAGAGAGAGAGAGAGAGTGGAAGTAGAGAAGGAAGGAAAGGTGGGCCGTGCAGAGGGAAAGAAAGGGAGAAAGATAGAAAGAAAGAAAAAGAGAGAGAGAGAGAGAGAGAGAGAGAGTGGAAGTAGAGAAGGAAGGAAAGGTGGGCCGTGCAGAGGAAAAGAGACATGGAGATGGGAGAGTAGGATAGTGAAGGAAAAAGGGGATATATGAGGTGGGAGAGGGTTGGGAGCCAGATGGAGAGACTTGATAAAGGTGTAGAAGAGAGAATGTGAGACAACAGAAAGATGCATAATACCACATATCTGAACGAATGAATAAATAGATAGATAAATAAATAAATATAGTATCTGCAGGAAAGATATTTCTTTCCTATGGTCACCTCGTCTTTAATCACTAACCTTTGAAAACAAATAAATAGCTAAAAACAGAAATCATAATAAATATGGAGGGGAATCTATAACAAATACATACCCACGATATAAACTATGGCACAAGCAACCTACCTGGTGGTGCAACCATTCGTTGCCATTTTTGGAACAAAGTGGTCTTGAGGCAGTCTCGAGGGGAAAGTGCGTATGCTTTGTGCCGTGACATGAGCTCCTGCATGGGCTCCAAAATCACACATAACTGCAAAAGAAAGAGAGAAAACATATAATACATATATATAACTAAATACTCAAGAACATGCTTACATGTTTACATATATATATATATATATATATATATATATATATATATATATATATACATAGTATATATATATATATATATATATATATATATATATATATATATACATAGTATATATATATATATATATATATATATATATATATATATATATATATATATATATATATATATATATATATATATATATATATATATATACATAGTATATATATATATATATATATATATATATATATATATATATATATATATATATATATATATATATATATATATACATAGTATATATATATATATATATATATATATATATATATATATATATATATATATATATATATATATATATACATAGTATATATATATATATATATATATATATATATATATATATATATATATATATATATATATATATATATATATATATATATACATAGTATATATATATATATATATACATAGTATATATATATATATATACATATATATATATATATATATATACATATATATATATATATATATATATATATACTATGTATATATATATATATATATATATATATATATATATATATATATATATATATATATATATATATATATATATATACATAGTATATATATATATATATATATATATATATATATATATATATATATATATATATATATATATATATATATATATATATATATATATATATAATTGTAAGGCAGGTGGGGACAAGGAAAGGGAAAAGGATGGGAGAGGGAGGAAGAAGGATGGGAGGGGGGGGGAAGGAGGGAGGAAGAGAGAGAGAGAGAGAGAGAGAGAGAGAGAGAGAGAGAGAGAGAGAGAGAGAGAGAGAGAGAGAGAGAGAGAGAGAGAGAGAGAGAGAGAGAGAGCAAAAGAAAGGAGATGAGAGGAGACAGAGACTGATTTATTCATATCAAATGTTTAAATTTTAGCTATACACATGTTACTCAAATGCAAATGTAATCTAAGATATTTTTTATCTCTTGATAAATCATAATTTTTATTATTGTAAATATTCCTATTTCAGATATAGCTACAAGTTTGTACAAAGAACTATTTTTCTCTGTTGCTATTCACTTTACACCCCACAGAATTTTAAATTTACTGCTTAACCAATACAACCAAATGAAGAAAAGAAACAAAGGAATACATGTTTACCTAAATTTTACTTTCAATGTTTAAGCTAGGTGTGTTTTTTCATCTGTGTATTAGCCAACTCATGGTTTATGAATTAACAACAGTATATGTATTTGTGTGTTCTTGGTAACCATTCACATGTTGTAATGCATGTGTGTGGTAACTTACATGTTTGTGTCTGTCAATATTTGAAAACATTTCTTCTCTCTTCAGTCAACACACACATGCAACCTAATACATTGCAAGGTCACTTGTGCAGAAAAATTCCAACCTAAGTATATATCCCTATAATAGTAATAACAATGCTAAAAACATTGATTATGATCCTGCAAACAATTCAACCCAATATATGACCAGCACTTTATGTTACTTACCCTGAGGTAGTTTAGGGTGTGGTTGGTGATGCCCTGCCGTGTGATGTTCTTGCCAAGTGTCTCCACCATGCCAGGGTCCTGCTGCGTGTGCATGGCCACCACAGACCGTGGGATAAGCTCACGGTGGGCACGGACGGCAAAATGCCACGACTTGATGCGCATTAGGTCATCAAATGTGAACTCTAAAATGAGTCTACCATCTGTACAGACCTGTGATGGAAAAAATAGAAAAAGATTGGTTACTACTCTATTCTATAGATAC